ATGTACGAAAATTCAGGTGATTTGGGCTGATATTGACCATTTAGTGCACATTTAACCCGAAATCGGATGAAGATATATATGAGAGCTATATCCAAATCTGAACCGATTTCGATAAAATTTAAAACAGCTATTTCTGTGCTCCATCTAATACCTGGTACCAAATATCACGGTTGTGGAGTGAATATTACGAATGTAAGGGACTAAAACAATAAATCGGATGAAACATATATATGGTTGCTATATCTATATCTGAACCGATTTTCACTAAATTTGATATACTTGCTTCTGGGCTGAATTTGGTCCGATGTACTAAAATTCAGTCCATTTGGACTTATATCGGCCATTTGGTGCACAATTAACCCGAAATCGGATGAAGATATATATGGGAGCTATATCCAAATCTGAACCGATTTCGATAAAATTACACACAGCTATTTCTGGGCTGTATCTTATATCTGGTACCAAATATTATTCTTGTGGATTGCATATTACGAATGTGAGAGGCTTAAACACCAAATCGGATAAAACATATATATGGGAGCTATAGCTGTTTCTGAACCGATTTTCTCCAAATTTGTTGTATTTTCTTTAAGGCTAATCTCGGTCACATGTGCCAAAATTCGGGCCATTTGGGCTGATATTGACCATTTAGTGCACATTTAACCCGAAATCGGATGAAGATATGTATGGGAGCTATATCCAAATCTGAACCGATTTCGATAAAATTTAAAACAGCTATTTCTGTGCTCCATCTAATACCTGGTACCAAATATCACGGTTGTGGAGTGCATAGTAGGAATGTGAGGGACTTAAAGATCAAATCGGATGAAAGATATATATGGGAGCTATAGCTATATCCGATTTTCTCCAAATTAAATATACTTGCTTCTAGGCCGAACTCGGTTGGGTGTGCCAAAATTCAGGTAATTTGGACTGATAGTGGATATTTGGTGCACATTTAACCCGAAATCGGATGAAGATATATATGGGAGCTATATCTAAATTTGATCCGATTCTCACCAATTTCAATAGGGTTCGTCCTTGGGCCAAAAAAATATTGTTTGGAAAATTTCATCTCAATCGGATAATAAATGCGACCTGCATTTTGTTCACAAGAATACATGGACAGACGGACGGACGGACAGACGGACTGACATGCATAAATCGACTCAGAAAGTGATTCTATGAAGGTTCTCAAAAGTAACTATGGGTCTATCTCGTTTTCTTCTCCATGTTACAAACAGATGCATAAAGACATAATACCCTTACCACTATGTGGTGTAGGGTATAATGAACCGATGTACGTGACCATAAAACGAATTGTATTTCCCAAAATTTAATCATATTTAATTTTGAGAAGAAATATTAAAAAAAAACCTAGCAGAAAATAAATAAAAACTTATTTTGTTTTGAAATTATAGCCATTACGTGATCACATACAAATAAATGTTCTTGTTTATTGGTTTAGAAACAGCAGGCCAACACACACACACACACACACACACCCGAACACATGCATCTTACGCTGCACGTGGTAATTATGTTTCATGAGCAAAAAAAACAAAAACAAAATAAAAGTTAGTTGATTAATGATTGGTAAATCCATGAAGAGGTAGTAGAAGAACAACAAACAAATAATAAGATTTAAAATTATTATTGTGCAAAATTCGTTTTGTAGACTTTTTCACAGGAATTTGTTGAAATGGCTTTTTGTCATTAGCATTGAGAACAAAAAGAAACTAAATATGAATTTTTAAAAAGATGTACAACTCTATTAACTTTCATCCAAGTGCCATCTTTATCTGTAGTTTTTCGAAACGTAACTATTTCATGTAAAATGTAACAAAAATGCCACACCATTTAGGAAGGTACCATCTTTCAGGGCATAGCAGATTTTAGAAGGTCGAATAGGGCCCATGTCTCCAGCTATAGCAGATGATGGAATAGATTTATATACAACCACATTTTAAAGTTTTGTTTCTCCCCAGAGAATTTTTAATTTACATTGTCTTCAAAACATTCTCTCCCAGAGAGAAACTTGCCAAACTAATATTGATTGGAACTCAAGAGAAACAATCTACTCAATCACACACAATGTTAGGGCAAAAACAAAAATTAGTCCCCTTTTTGGACATTGACCTTATTGTCCACACCATTTCTTCTTCCCTCAAGTGATATTGCAAAAACTTAAATTAGTAGTCTGTTTTTTGGTAAACGCAACTGTGAACTTGAAATAAATGCAAATTTGTTTACAAAATTGTTTTTGTTTGTTAAATAAATTTTCAAAATTGATCATAAATTGTTGAACTTAACACCGCATGGCATTTGACAAGGAAAAATTTTTCAGGGTTAAATAAATTTCATAAGATAAATAAATAAAACTAAATTGCAGCCGCAAAAAGAAGAAAAAAAAGTTTATGTCAAATGGGACCAGGGGCGTAGGCGGTTGGGATAAAAGGGCGCCTATTCGATTTATAGACGAGCAGAAGTGGGTCTAAATAGGCGAATGGAGGAAATCAATGAAACAGTCTCTAAGAACTAGCAGACTGGGCTAAGGAAGTCTCTAAGACGAATCGATGGGTGTCCCTAAAGAGGAATCGAAAATAATATCCAAAATGGAGGCGATGTGAGTCCTTAATAACGAGCCAAAGGGAGTCTTTAAAGACGAGTCGAAGGAAGGGCCTATTGGCCCGAATGTAATCTAGAAAAGCGAACGGAAGAGAGCCTCTATAGACGAGCTTTAGTTTCCATACACGAGCTGAAAGAAATTTCCAGATGCGACCAGGAGGGTGTCTCCATAGATGAATTGGAAGAAGACTTTATAGACGACCTGGAAGGAGCCTCCATAGACGAGCTGGAAGAGCAAGTTCCCATAGACGAGCTGGAGGAGTAAGTTCCCATAGATGAGCTGGAGGGAGTCTCCATAGACGTGCTGAATCTATCAAATCTACACCGATGAGCTGGAACAGGTCTCCATAAGCGAGTTGGGAGAGCAAGTCTCTACAAACGAGCTGGAGGGAGTCTTCGTAGAAGAGCTAGCGGGAGTCTCCATTGATGTAGAGGGATTCTCCATTGACGAGGTGGAGAGAGTCTCCATTGACGAGCTGGAGAAAGTCTCCATAGACGATCGGAGCAAGTCTCCATAGATGAATTTTATAGACTACCTGGAAGGAGTTTCCATAGGCGAACTGGAGGAGCAACTTCCCATGGAAGAGCAGGAGGAACAAGTTCCCATAGATGAGCTGGAGGGAGCCTCCATAGACGTGTTGAAGCAAATCTACACAGATGAGCTGGAACAGGTCTCCATAAGCGAGTTGGGAGTGCAAGTCTCTATAAACGAGCTAGAGGGAGTCTCCATTTACGAGTTAGAGGGAGTCTCCATTGATGAGCTGGAGGCAGTCTCCATTGATGAGCTGGAGGAGCAAGTCTCCATAGACGAATTGAATGAAGTCTCCATGGACCGGGTGGAGAAAGTCTCCATAGATGAGCTGGAGCAAATTTACATAGACTAGGTGGAGCAAGCCTCCATTGACGAGCTGGAGGAGCAAGTCTTCATAGACGAGCTGGAGGAACAATTCTTCATAGACGAGATGGAGGAACACGTCTTCATAGACGAGATGGAGCAAGTCTCCATAGATGAGCTGGAGGAGTAAGTCTACATAGATGAGGTGGAAGAACAAGTCTCCATATACGAGTTGGAGCAAGTCGCCCTAGACGAGCTGGAACAACAAGTCTCCACATACGAGTTGGAGCAAGTCTCCATAGACGAACTGGAAGAATAAGTCTACATAGATGAGCTGGAAGAACAAGTCTCCATAGACGAGCTGGAGCAAGTCGCCCTAGACGAGCTGGAGCAAGTCTTCATAGACGAGCTGGAAGAACAAGTCCCCATAGACGAGCTGGAAGTACAAGTCTCCACATACGAGTTGGAGCAAGTCTCCATAGATGAGCTGGAGCAAATCTCCATATGTGAGCTGGAGCAAGTCTCCATATGTGAGCTGGGTCGAGTCTCCATAGACGACCTAAAAGCGGTCTCCATAGACCACCTAATAGGGATCTCTGCAGACATCGGAAGGGGTATTTATAAGCTAACTGAAGGCAGGTTTTGCATAGATCAGCTCCAGAGGCGAACGTACAGGATACCCCATGGAGAGCCGGAGTGAGTCTGAAGGGAGCCTCCACAGAAAAAATGAAGTGCGTCTGTGCAGAACACCTGAAGCGCGTCTTTGTAGAATAGCAGAAGGGGTATCTGTAGAACATCTGCATGGGTCTTTGTAGAACACCTGAAGGGGTATCTGTAGAACATCTGAGAGAGATTTCTGTAGACTACCTGAAGGAGGTATTTGTAGACCCACTAGATCACGTGGATTCAATCTCTATTGACTTCATCAAGCGAATCAGCATGAGGTCTCCATAGACCGCCAAATGAAGGGATTTTTCATAGGCCACCACCAGAGAGGGGTCTCTATAGACCACCAAAAGGAAATCTCTGTGGACCAACTGATGCGGAATCTGTAGACCACTTGATATTGATTTGTAGAACACCTGAAGGGGTATCTGTAGAACACCTGAGGGAGATTTCTGTAGACTACCTGAAGGAGGAATTTTTAGACCCACTAGATCACATGAATTCAATCTCTATTGACTTCATCAAGCCAATCAGCAGGGGGTCTCCCTAGAGCGCCAAATGAAGGGAATTTTCATAGGCCACCACCAGAGAGGGGTCTTTATAGATCACCAAAAGGAAATCTCTGTGGACCAACTGATGCGGAATCTGTAGACCACTTGATATTGTCTCCAAATAATCCAAAATCCATACCTCCCCCTATTTTATATTTAATACAATTGCCACGCCACTGAAAATGACTGCGTATTTTTAAGCTTGTAACAAAAATAGAGGAAGGCCTGAGGGGCTTTTACACATTTGGTTGACCATAAAAAGGTTATATTTGGGGGGGTGTGTGTATGTCAAAAATGAAAAACAAAAAACTCATGTTTACCTGTCTTTGACGTTGATTTTGTTTGGGGGAATCCATGATTGAGATGTGGTGACTTTGCTTTTGGAGATTTCGGTCTCTTGACGACGACGACGACGACGACGACGATAATGACAACGTTTTTTTTTTGTTTGGCTGCAGGTTGTATTTGTATCGCAGACAGTTTGACTTGCAAACTTTTCGTTGATTTACGTTATTGTTGTTATGGCTTTTTTTTTTGTTTAGCTTTTAGGCATCCAGCATAAAACCCCAATTATTTTGTGACAAAATTTCACATAAAACTCTTTTTTTTTTTTTTTTTTGACTCTCTCTCTCTCTCTCCTTTTTCTTACAGACACATCCAGACAACTGTGACGGCTGCTATTTAGGTTGTTAAAAGTTCACAAAATGAAGTAAACTTCATATCAACACAAAATTGTGTCAAGTTGTTGAATAGCTAAACAGATAAGCCGGCAAACGAAGAAAAGAAACTGACGAAAAAAACAAAAACAAAAAACAAAACAAACAAAAATGGGGTAACACAAAATTAAGACACTTTCGGTTTTCAAGGGCACTTTGTAATGAACGCGGTAATTTTTTATGATTCACATTACACGACGCGACGAATGAACTACAATTTCAATGCAACCAGAATTTTGCAATGAATGTTTTCAAATTGGGGAATAATAGATTTCAAATGCCAATTTTTGGAATTTTTTTTTTTTTTTTTTTTTTGAAATTTTGTTTTTGAAATTTTAAATGAAATACATTTTGAAATTTGCTCAGAACTGTTATGCGGGTTTGTGGGTGGTTTTGCAACTTTTATTGTAATTATTATTGTTGTTATTGTTTTTGAATACTATTTTTTTTTTTTTGGATTTTTTCTCAGCCACCCAATCTGGTTTTGTAGTTTTGCATTTGTTTTCTTGTTGTTGTGAATTTCTTGACTGGTTTTTTCTCATGTAACCAAAACACAGATTCAAATAAACAGTAAAACGAAAAAACACAAATTTTGAAAACTCAGGCCACATGAACAATTTTGAAATATTTTGAACTGAAAAAAAAATATTTTCTTTAATTTTGAAAGAATAATCCAATATTTTTTTTACTCTTTTGTTTTACTTGAAATTTGTTGGTGTTGTTAATTTGTATATTTTAATTTGCTGTTGATATTTTTGTTGTTATTTTTTTTTTTTGGACGGGCTATTGGATTTTCGCGTGCACACTCCTATGCGGCTGCGCTTAAACTAACTTGGCTCTTCGATCAATGCCGGCTCAAGTATTAACAAAAATTATACACAAAAAATAAGGTTTTTTTGGTTTATTTTTTCGTGGTCGTCAGCGTTGTTGTTGTTGGTGCCGCTGATATTCTGCCATAGTGTTTCCATGCAGTGGTAGTTGTTGTTGCTGCTGGTAGTCGGGCTTTGTTGTATTATTGCAGCCAGCCAGCCAGCCAGCCAACGAATTTAGCCACTTAGCCATTGTTTTAAGTTTAGCTGGTTTCTTTGGTGGTGTAGTTGTTGTTTTTTTTTTTTTTTTTTGTACAAATTAAAGTGTTATACGCTCACACCACCAACTAGTCAGCCACCCAGCCGACAAGTCAGTCAGTCATCCATGTATTCTTTTCTTTGTCTCTTTACAATGTCGACTTTGAGGCCCCATCTTAGATTCATAGAATTCTATTTTATGATAGGCCTTACATGTTCTTTGTCATCGCCCAGCAAAGACAAGACATTTGTACGTCCGAGGTACTTCCTTCCGGAAAATCCTTCAGCCATAACTTACCTGTAAAAAAGCAAGACGGAAAAGATAAACATGAAAATTGCCAAGAATATTAAATAAATCAAAAGAATGTTTTTTTTTATAGTACAAGTATTGAGCTGAGGAGAGTCTCCAGAGATTAGTAGAAGTCTCCAAAGGCAAACTGAATGGAGTCTCCACAGACCGAGGGGAAGACAGTCTTCATAGACGAGCGAGCAGGAGGTTTCCATAGATAAGCTGAAGTGTGGTATACATAGACGTTCTGGGAAGCGGTTTTATAGACCACCTGAAGTCGGTTCTTTGGACCACCTGAAAGCGGTCTCCAAAGACAAGATCTATAAACGTTTTGAAGAGATTCTCCACAGATGAATAAAAGATGGTCCCCAATATATGAACTGGCGGTCTCCAAAGACAAAAACGCGTTGAAGAGGTTCTCCAGAGATACATAGAAGAGGATCTTCATAAATGAAGCGAGAATCACCTCAATAGACGAGTGGGAGAGACTCGACCCACTAGCTGTGGGTATTTCCAATAAACTATTGAAAAACAGTTTTTGTCTCCCCTGACCAGCCGAAGTTTTTATGGAAGTATCTATAGACGAGTTGCAGGGAGTCTCTATAGACGAGTTGAAGGAAGTCTCTATAGACGAACTGCAGGGAGTCTCTACAAACGAGCTAAAGGAAGTCTCTGCAAATAAGCTGAAGGAAGTTTCTATAGACGAGCTGCAGGAGTTTCTATAGGCGAGCTGCAGGGAGTCTCTATAGACGAGCTGAAGTAAGTCTCTACAAACGAGCTAAATGAAGTCTATAGACGAGCTGCCGGGAGTTTCTATAGACGAGCTGCCGGGAGTTTCTATAGACGAGCTGCCGGGAGTTTCTATAGACGAGCTGCCGGGGGTCTCTATAGACGAGCTGCCGGGGGTCTCTATAGACGAGCTGCCGGGGGTCTCTATAGACGGCTGCCGGGGGTCTCTATAGACGAGCTGCCGGGGGGTCTCTATAGACGAGCTGCCGGGGGTCTCTATAGACGAGCTGCCGGGGGTCTCTATAGACGAGCTGCAGGGAGTCTCTATAGACGAGCTGAAGGAAGTCTCTATAGACGAGCTGCAGGAAGTCTCTATAGACGAGCTGCAGGGAGTCTCTACAGACGAGCTGCAGAGAGTCTCTATAGACGAGCTGAAGGAAGTCTCTATAGACGGGCTAAAGGAAGTCTCTACAAACGAGCTTATGGAAGTCTCTACGAATGAGCTGAAGGAAGTCTCTATAGACGAGCTGAAGGAAGTCTGTATAGAAGAGTTGATGGGAGTCTCTATAGACGAGCTGAAGGAAGTCTGCATAGAAGATTTGATGGGAGTCTCCATAGACGAGCTGAAGGAAGTCTCTATAGAAGAGTTTATGGGAGTCTCTATAGACGAGCTGAAGGAAGTCTCTATAAACGAGCTGAAGAAGTCTCTATAGACGAGCTGAAGTAAGTCTCTACAAACGAGCTAAATGAAGTCTATAGACGAGCTGCCGGGGGTCTCTATAGACGAGCTGCCGGGAGTTTCTATAGACGAGCTGCCGGGAGTTTCTATAGACGAGCTGCCGGGAGTTTCTATAGACGAGCTGCCGGGAGTTTCTATAGACGAGCTGAAGGAAGTCTGCATAGAAGATTTGATGGGAGTCTCCATAGACGAGCTGAAGGAAGTCTCTATAGAAGAGTTTATGGGAGTCTCTATAGACGAGCTGAAGGAAGTCTCTATAAACGAGCTGAAGAAGTCTCTATAGACGAGCTGAAGTAAGTCTCTACAAACGAGCTAAATGAAGTCTATAGACGAGCTGCCGGGGGTCTCTATAGACGAGCTGCCGGGAGTTTCTATAGACGAGCTGCCGGGAGTTTCTATAGACGAGCTGCCGGGAGTTTCTATAGACGAGCTGCCGGGAGTTTCTATAGACGAGCTGCCGGGAGTTTCTATAGACGAGCTGCCGGGAGTCTTTATAGACGAGCTGCCGGGGGTCTCTATAGACGAGCTGCCGGGGGTCTCTATAGACGAGATGCCGGGGGTCTCTATAGACGAGCTGCCGGGGGTCTCTATAGACGAGCTGCCGGGGGTCTCTATAGACGAGCTGCAGGGAGTCTCTATAGACGTGCTGAAGGAAGTCTCTATAGACGAGCTGCAGGAAGTCTCTATAGACGAGCTGCAGGGAGTCTCTACAGACGAGCTGCAGAGAGTCTCTATAGACGAGCTGAAGGAAGTCTCTATAGACGAGCTGAAGGGAGTCTCTATAGACGAGCTGAAGGAAGTCTCTATAGACGAGCTGATGGAAGTCTCTATAGACGAGCTGATAGAAGTCTCTATAGACGAGCTGAAGGGAGTCTCTATAGACAAGCTGCAGGGAGTCTATATAGACGAGCTGAAGGAAGTCTCTATACACGAGCTGCCGCGAGTCTCTATAGACGAGCTGCCGCGAGTCTCTATAGACGAGCTGCCGCGAGTCTCTATAGACGAGCTGATGGAAGTCTCTATAGACGAGCTGATGGAGTTTCTATAGACGAGCTGCAAGGATTATCTATAGACGAGCTGCCGGGAGTCTCTATAGACGAGCTGCCGGGAGTTTTTGTAGATGAGCAGATGGGAGTATCTATAGACGAGCTGCAGGGAGTCTCTATAGGCGAGTTGAAGGGATGAAAATCTCCACGGACGCTTTAAATTTTAACAAAAACTAAATGCAATGCTGATTTTCCTTCAAATTGTTTATAATGTTACGTGTTTGTTGTTGTTGTAGTTGATATTTGAACATTCAGTTCCAGCGCGGCATATTTATCGCTTTGACTTTTTAGTTGGCAATTTGTTGTGCTTAAAAATACATATTTTTTTTTGTTTCTCCTCTTTTTGTTTGGTACTTCTGTTTGATCTTTGCATAAATATCACGTTTTGGGGGTCTTTCAGCCAAACAACCAGAGACTAGCAAACAAAAGACTTAAGAAACAAACCCAAAAAAAACAAAGATTCTTAACAAAAACTTGAAGCTTAACCAAATTGGGGGGGGGGGATAAAATGAAGATGTTTTATATTTTTCTTTTTTTTTCAATTTTCTCTGAAGCTCTGTGGCAAATATAAATGCTGCAGTTGCCCTTAATCATGCAAAAATGCTGGCTTTGAATGGCTCATAAATTAATGTCTGCATTTGTTTGGTATGAAAACGTCAACCATCAATTTGATGCAACTGAAGGAATTGTATGTTGCAATATTTGACAGTCAATTTTGAGGCGATCCGCATGTTCTAGAAGAACAAATTGTAGATTTGGAAAAATTAAGTTTTTATTGTGAGAATTGGAAACTGTTGAGAGAGGGGAGTTTATGAGACAAGTTAAAAGGAGTCCCTTGCCTAAGGCGGTCTCTATATCTGAGTAAAAGGGAGTTTAAAAACAGTTGACTGAGGTCTCAATAAACGAACTGGAGTGATTTAATGGGGGGGGGGCATATCTCTCTATATTCCAACTGAAGAAACCCCTTTGTCGTTGCTTTTAGATCTACATGGATTGTATTGTTGACCGTCAGCTATGAATTGCATCGATAGATTAACAAATGGCATTGCACTTTTACACGCGTTCTAAGCCATGAATAATACTAAGCGAATGGATAGCTTGACTGAATGGATGAGTGCAAGTTAAATTATGTCAAGACATTAATTATGGAACTGATGATTTGACTTTGCCTAGCCAGTCAGTAGCTGCCTGACAACTAAAGAAATACTCGTCGAGATAGACAAACTCCATGATGTTGATGATAATTCAACTCCTATCGTATGCGATCTCATTAAGGCACTTTTTGCTAATTGCAATTGTGTTTTATTCTCCCCGATGTTGTTGTTTTTTTTATGAATCACAAAAACAGCAACAACTACAACAGTTGAGCAAAGAATTTTTAATTTATTAAAATTTTGCCAAGCAACACCAATCGTTGAGAACACAAACTGACA